CTTAAGGTTTATTATAATAATTATTATATATGGTTATTGTTATAAAATAATACTATAAATCATATTAGAATTATAGGATGATAAAATATAATAATAATAATAATAATATTTAAGTGTAATATTAATTATAGTATCAGATTTTATAACACAATTATAAAATTAATTGTATTGTTTTATCATAACTTATATTTTATTAAATAAATATAGGTTTATTGCAATATATGGTTATTATAAAATATGATAATGATCATTATGATGAAATGCTATAGCAATATAATTTCATAATCATATTTTATAATAATATATTTCTCAGAGTCTCTGGAGGACAGTGTAGAGTCCCCTGACTCCTGCGTGACGGGGCCCATCCCTGAGATTAGTGTAACGGGGGTCGGCGGCGAGCGGCTGCTCAACGGAGAGGCTCTGCGCAGCAGGACGGAGGGGGAGGTGCTAGGGGGCGCCACAGAGGTGGGGGTCGACCCTAGAGGTCAAGAGGTCAGGAGGCAGAAGTCTGTGCGGAGGCACCTAGAGGACGGGACGCCCTCCGCGGGGCGGGTTCAGTTCTAGAGCCCCACCCACCTCTCCCCTCTCCCTCGGCCCAGAGGTACTTGTGTGGGCGGAGCTTCTTGATAAGCCTCTTAATTATTCATGAGATGTAAATGCTTCCGAGTATCACACAAACAGCCGTCTAGGGAATTTCTTTTTGGCTTTTGTGTTTTTCCTGAAGGAATATCTCTGGTTCAGAAGTACAGCTCTATGGACAGCGTAATAGTCTTCATTACCACAGCAAATCAGCTTGTACAAAGTCGTATAATAAGGCCATTTATGGGATTTGAAAGCTGAAATGTGGCTTTTTTTTTTTTTTTTTTAAGACGGATGAACTTCTGGTTAATGTGTATCTACGTGGAAAATTCCCTTGCAACAACAATATTTATATACTTATTATTTTATATGTACATAAATATACATAAACAATATGCAGGTATTAAAAAAAAAACAAAACAATTCCTATAACTTTGCATGTTTAAATTTGTCTTGACAATTTGAATATACAAAAAATGAAATTATTAATTTTTTTTTTTTTAATAATTATAAATATAAGTATATAATCCCCCGGTTTCACAGACAAGGCTTAAGCTAGTCCCAGACTAAAATGCATGTTTGAGCTGTCTCAACTGAAAATATCGGATCTTAAAATATGTCGGTGTCATTGTTCTGTGTCAAGATGCAAACCTTTTTGTCATTTTTGTATTTTGCATTTTTGTAAAAGTTGCTTAAATATTTTAATTTAACTAAGGCCTCATCCTGGCTTAAGCTAAGCCCCGTTTGTGAAACCGGGCCTGTGTGTTGTAATTTATATTATTATTATTATTATTGTTGTTGTTAAAATATTATTTTATATAATTATATATATATTGTTATATTAAATTATTATATATTGTAATTAGATATAATTATAATATATTACATATGTTGTTTCATATATCACTATATTATTATTTTATTGTGATTATGTAAATTATTGTATTAAATTCTTAT